GATCGCAAAGATCAAGGCGCGCATCCAGGGGCACCTCGACTCGACTAAGTACCGGCTGGTGCAATACAACGCGAGCCGCGCCATCCTGCCGCAGTGCGCGCGCACCGTGCACAGGCGGGGAGAGGCCTGGGAGCCCGCTCACTGCTCTGCCCGTGGACAGGTGCGTCCGCATCACGCCCGGCAAAAAGTCGCCCTCCATCCTCCCGCTCGAGGACCCCGAGTACGTCGCCGTCTCCGTGATGGTGCCCAACAAGGAGCTCGCCGAGCGCGTCGACGAGCTCATCGCCATCGGCGCCACCGACGTGATGGTCTTCCAGATCCAAAACTACCGCTGATAGTCTGTTCGTCTCGGCTCGAGCCTCTGGAGATGCTCCCGACCGCAGGCTCGATTCAGTCTCGGCCCCTGGCTCGACGGCACTGCAATAAACGGCGTAGCGTGGCCTTTGGTTTGGCCCGGTGTCCTCGTTGGCTTGTGCTGTGGAGGGAGTCCCGCAGCGAGCAGTCTTCAGCGCGCGAGGTACGCACCAGAAGCACTCCATTAGGGAGACAACGAGAGATGTGTGCAGGCCATGTGTATCGGGAGATATGGGCGGATATATGTGCCCCAGGGAGTATACAACTTATGTATGTGTAAATAAAAGGAGAGCGCAAAGATTTCGTCAGGGACGGTGACGATGCAGGCCAACTCAGGGCCACGTCCCCCCTGTCGCCCCCCCCCAGCACACACGGTGCCAAGGGCTCAAACAACAGCACACAAACACAGACAGGTGACAGGGAGCAACGTGTGAGACTAGAGCCCTCGTCTCTCGGAAATGGAAAAAAAGGTGGCGATCGAGATCAATTCGAGATTTCTTCGATCATCTTTCAGGATGCTGGGCTTGATCATCCTGCCGGCCTTGCCGCGCCCCCTGGCCAGCGTTCAGGGAGGAGCTCCCGCCTGGACGGTTCGCAGCGCGGACGAGCGGCGGCAGCTGCGGGGGCCGGTCGCCCTGCGCTCGCCTCCAGTGGTGGCCTCCTTCCACGCTTCGAGCGGCGCGGCCAGTCCAGTCGCCAACGGGGCTGACTTTATGACGGCGCAGGGTGGTTGCCGCAGCTGGTCGGTGCGCGGCGCCGACGAGCGGCGCCAGCTCCGGCGGGGCAACGCTGCGCCGGACCGCGCCGCCATCACCCGCACCACCGCGCTGGCGGAGGCAGGGCCAGTCGATGCCGGGCCAGTCGAGGCTGGGCCGGCGGCGGACGGGGCCGACTTTATGACCGTGCAGGGGGGGTGCAGCAGCTGGTCGGTGCGCG